AATTCTTTTAATTCTGAAATAAGTTCTTAAGCTACTAGTAAGAATTAAATTTCTTGAAATTCAATATGTTTTGTAGGCCAGAAGAATCAATTTTCCCTGCTATCTTAGTAGAAATTACATCAAATCACACGCAATACCTACAGAACAAGAATTCCAATTTATGCCCAGGGAGTTCATAGGAACGTTCATGTTTAAGACATACAGGTCTTTTCTGCCTTTTGGGTAGTAATGTTCATTGGTATAAAAGTAAACTCAAACATCACCAAAGATAGAGGTATTCTGGTTATGGCAAGCAAAATTAAGGACATATATCTGGGTTAAAAAATTCAAAATATGATACTAATAAATGTTTATCTCAGTAAAAGCAAAGACTTCTACCAGCCAGGGCAGGTTTGGTTCAGTTCTCATTATCTACTATGAACAATGGCCTTTAATTGGTCTTATATTGGAAATGAGCAGGGCAGGTTTATCATTCTCAGGAATTGCTGATTAATTAAGCAAGCAGACACTCCAGGCAATGTATTTCTGGACGCAGGACAAGATGGAGTGAATAATATGCCCATCATCTTATGCAAGGGCAATGATTACCCTCACTAAATGGGTCTCATTAGGCTCAAACTAGAGGAAATGTCAGCACATCCAGGGAAGAATTTCAGCCCCAATCATTTTCAGAGTATTAGACATGTTTGTTTAAATTTCAATCAGAAAGTTCCACTTTGGCCCAGCATTTAAAATCTATTTTGTAATTTACCTTAGAGTAATGGTTGAATAACAAAAAGGTTTTAAAAAATGTAAAACAGGAAAACAAAACAATACCAAACAAAACAGCCTTACTTTCCAAGGGCAAAGCATTCCAGTTTTACAGACGAATCCTTTGCAGCTTGTATTGTTTCTGGAAAACGCACTTCAATCTTTGGCTCATACTCCCCCATCACACCTGTTAAATATCAAAAGAGCTAGCAGCATTTCTGGAGAACAGAAGTTCTAGGAAGTAAATGCTTCTTTAATGAAAGCCTGATTATTTGGTTTTTCAGTAAACAATAGTTGCCTATATTTCAGTGAGAGACAGAGGACAAGGGGAGTTTTTGATGATGTAGTAACATTTTAACTGCCCCCCCCAAAAAGAAAAAATAATAGGGTCAGACTAGAGACATAATAACCTTCCTTATTTGCTTACACCTTTTATATTATTATCATGATAAGAACTAGAGTTTCCAATGAACAATTAGATTCATCTGGATTCTAAATGCTTCTGAATTAAAAACAAAAGTTCTCTAGCGATATCCAAAGTCCTCACCCCTTCATGACACTCGGAGTCAGATCTATTTAAGAATTAGGAGGGTTTCTGATAACCCCTGAAGAGGAGTGATATAACACCTCTTAATTAAAAAATCAGTATTTCTGGAGAAAAACATATAAAATAATCTTAGGTGATTACTATCATTTGTACAAGATTTAGCTATCAGATTTTGTACATTTATGTTAAATATTTACTTATAAAGAGTATGTTTTTCTTTTAAATTTCTGACAAGGAATTCTTGGTCTGGATTAAGGAAAAACTAAGACAGTTATCTAATGCATTGTAGACACAAGATCAATCATAAGAACGATAATAAACAGAAATATATTTCTTGGGTATACCTGTGAACCCGATTAACTTAATCAATGACAACTCAAGATATTTAAAAATAAAAAAAAGTAAAAAATTTAAAAAAATGTATGTACTTAGCACATGAGTAATATATTCTTAAGTAAATCGTTTATCAGTGGCCAGTACAATTTTAGAAAATGTGAAATTTACCAAATCTATGTAAACTAAAAATGCCTAATTTTTCTGATGTA